GTATGTTAAGATAAGCATCTTATTGCTTCGTAATTACAATTATTGTTTAACCTATTATAGGTATAGGTTAAGTAATAATTGTAATTACGAAGCAATAAGATGCTTATCTTAACATACTAAGAAGGTTAGGTAAGGTCGGTGTTTTCTATGAAGCTTTTCAAGGTAAACTAAAATATTTACAATAAATTAGTATGTCACATGTGCACTTATTTAATAAGTCAATATTGACTGTAAGAAAGTGCGAGAACGGGTTGCACAAGTATCTTAGGCTTCCTGTGCATCGGTAGATTAGGTGGGTTGCTTGGGTTTGCGCGTCTGTGGTCCGCTTAACACTTTGTATTTAGTACGTTGTGGCCAATCAAGAGACCAGGCTGCATATGCTGACTCTGGCATCCTCAGCACTCCTTCAGCAGTTCCTATTCTGACTCAAGTTTGGAACAAACTTGAGTCAGCATAGTCAAACTTGAGTCAAACTTTAGAATTCGTTCATAGCCAAGTTACCCGTGAAATCAGGTCAACGGCCCTATGAAGGCAAAATTGGCACCAGCTTTGTCTAATACTTGGATTAAGACTTTGCGTTATACGAAGTTTAATCCTAATGGAAATAAAGATAAAAATATTAAATCCTTCTCTAGAGTCAGGATTGAGCTGAATTGATGTAGGCTATCAACTGTTTGTTTGACATTAAGGACATCAATCACATCTCAAACGATCTCTCACTACATTGTAAGGTTCTTAGGTGGCTATAATATTTGCAATAATTAGATCCAGTGTGTCCAAAGATCAACACAGTGGAACAATTAATAAAGGTATTGATATATACTAGTGAATAACTAACATACTAACATATATTATTCTAACATATATTCGTTAGAATAACGAATAACTAACGTTAGACTAGAGGAAACTGCAAAAGGCCTACTGGTTCGGAGGAAGCAGTTCCTAATGGTCCGTACAAGACAGCTCCTATTGGTCCGTACAAGTCAGTTCCTATTGGTCCGTACGAGGCAGTTCCTATTGGTCCGTACAAGTCAGTTCCTATTGGTCCGTACACGGCAGCTCCTATTGGTCCGTACACGGCAGCTCCTATTGGTCCGTACGAGGCAGCTCCTATTGGTCCGTACAAGTCAGTTCCTATTGGTCCGTACACGGCAGCTCCTATTGGTCCGTACAAGTCAGTTCCTATTGGTCCGTACGAGGCAGCTCCTATTGGTCCGTACAAGTCAGTTCCTATTGGTCCGTACGAGGCAGTTCCTATTGGTCCGTACAAGTCAGTTCCTATTGGTCCGTACACGGCAGCTCCTATTGGTCCGTGCACGGCAGCTCCTATTGGTCCGTACGAGGCAGCTCCTATTGGTCCGTACAAGTCAGTTCCTATTGGTCCGTACGAGGCAGTTCCTATTGGTCCGTACAAGTCAGTTCCTATTGGTCCGTACACGGCAGCTCCTATTGGTCCGTACACGGCAGCTCCTATTGGTCCGTACACGGCAGCTCCTATTGGTCCGTACGAGGCAGCTCCTATTGGTCCGTACAAGTCAGTTCCTATTGGTCCGTACACGGCAGCTCCTATTGGTCCGTACACGGCAGCTCCTATTGGTCCGTACGAGGCAGTTCCTATTGGTCCGTACGAGGCAGCTCCTATTGGTCCGTACAAGTCAGTTCCTATTGGTCCGTACACGGCAGCTCCTATTGGTCCGTACACGGCAGCTCCTATTGGTCCGTACGAGGCAGTTCCTATTGGTCCGTACGAGGCAGCTCCTATTTAGACCAAATCAAACTCTCACATATGTCTAACCAAAGCATAAAAAAAACAATGATACCAGGTCACGCGGTAATTTATTCTGAAAATCATTAATATTTTTCTCAACCCGTATTTATCCAGGTTGTTATTTGAGTCTAAACTAATCGATTATAATAAGTTACATAAACAAAATGGGGAGGGAATAGCCTTATTAGCATCTCTTCCAATTATGAATCCTGGTATCCTATTTTGCATAAAATCATGTCATGCCTGTTTCCACTTCAGATGTGGCAAATTTCATCATAATTTATTTCTCTATGATATATTAAGCTTAGAACCCTGCATTTGTCACCATTTAACCGTACCTTTTAATTATGAGCTCGTTTTAAAAACTTAAGAAGAACTATATCCGGTTTGAGTATTACAAACTTTAAAATATGCCATGAAGATGTTGACCAGACCACACAAACTAGACAGCAAAGGGACGACGACGTTTCGGTCCGTCCTGAATCATTCTCAAGTCGATTGTGAGAATGGTCCAGGACGGACTGAAACGTCGTCGTCCCTTCACTTTCTAGAGTGTGGTCTGGTCAACATACTTCAGCCACGTTATTGTGACTCATCGCCTACCATGAAGATGATTTTTTGTTTTTAATTAAACAAATAAAATGCCATGAAGATGGCATCCTCGTGTTGATAAGGAAATCTATTGTAACAATGAAGGGGGATTCGAACCACTCGATCTGGTTACTCGCCAGCTCACATTACCCATGCATCCCAAATGCACTCTGGTTTAAGTTTACGGGGCTATTCATGCCCGTGCCACCTCTCGGGATGCTTAATCTTCATCAATCAATCAATCTGTTGTAGGTAGTGAATTTATATCTAAAAAAACACATACCCTCCGGCTTCAAATCCACTATGAAATCGCACTAGCACGATGCATTAGTGCCTAAAAAGAATTGGAGCAAAGCGGGCGCGGGTTTGGGTCGCGGGTTCGAATCCCTCCCAAGTTACCCAAATTGACTATTTCGTTGATATATCACAATACTACTTTTGAAGCCATGGTGTTATATATCGGTAGGAATAACATACATGTATGAGACAAACGGGACTATTTTTCCTGAGAGTTTGAGAGTCTGGACTCCTAGACTCTTAAGCACTAAGAGTCTTGGACTAAGAGTCTTGGACTAGGAGTCTTGGACTAAGAGTCTTGGACTAAGAGTCTTGGACTCTTAGGTTTTGAGAAGAGAGAGGCAGTCAATATTTAACAGGAAGAAAGATGAGGGACAAGCGGTTAAGGAAAGCAAGATAACCGAACAAGGGAATAGAGATAATTGCAGATAGATAAATAGCAAGAAAACAAAGGGGGGAGGTTATCTTGAGATGCTTCCGGGGCATAGCATCCCTGCGGCCCGGTCCTCGACCAGGCCTCCTTTTTGTTACACACCTCCCAGGAAGCAACCCGTAGCAGCTATCTAACTCCCAGGTACTTATTTACTGCTAGGTGAGTAGAGGCATCAGGGTGAAAGAAACTCTGCTCATTTGTTTCCGCCTCCACCAGGTATCGAACCCTGAACCTCAGGACAATATATATATGCCTCCCTTCCTCTCCCAAATATATATATATATATATATATATATATATATATATATATATATATATATATATATATATATATATATATATATATATATATATATATATATATATGTAATATGTCGAGAGAATATCAGAATGATGAGAGAAAGAGGAACTGAAGCGATAAAGAAAAGAACAGGGGGAGAATAGGAGGATAAGGAGAGGAAAGGGAAGAATCCGTGGAAGACGAAGGAAGGGAAATGAGGCATATAGGTCGGAGGGAGATAATAAAAGGGAGAAATGGGGATGAAGGAACAGCGAAGAAAAGAGAGGAGGAGGAAGCAGGGAGACGGAACGGAAGGGGCAGTCAGATGGATGGAACAGGAACTTGGAACACAAGATAATTTTCAACCGGAGAATGGGAAGTGCTGAATGTCTAGAGAGAAACAGAGGAGAGAAGAGAGAAAGAGAACAGAGAAGAGAGGAAGAGGGAGAGGAAGAGAGCAGGTAAGAGAGAGAGAGAGAAAAAAAGAGACCACAGTGGAAGAGAAAGAGAACAGGGAACAGAGATAGAGAGAGAAAAAGAGACCACAGTGGAAGAGAAAGAGAACAGGGAACAGAGATAGAGAGAGAAAAAGAGACCACAGTGGAAGAGAAAGAGAACAGGGAACAGAGATAGAGAGAGAAAAAGAGACCACAGTGGAAGAGAAAGAGAACAGGGAACAGAGATAGAGAGAGAAAAAGAGACCACAGTGGAAGAGAAAGAGAACAGGGAACAGAGATAGAGAGAGAAAAAGAGACCACAGTGGAAGAGAAAGAGAACAGGGAACAGAGATAGAGAGAGAAAAAGAGACCACAGTGGAAGAGAAAGAGAACAGGGAACAGAGATAGAGAGAGAAAAAGAGACCACAGTGGAAGAGAAAGAGAACAGGGAACAGAGATAGAGAGAGAAAAAGAGACCACAGTGGAAGAGAAAGAGAACAGGGAACAGAGATAGAGAGAGAAAAAGAGACCACAGTGGAAGAGAAAGAGAACAGGGAACAGAGATAGAGAGAGAAAAATAGACCACAGTGGAAGAGAAAGAGAACAGGGAACAGAGATAGAGAGAGAAAAAGAGACCACAGTGGAAGAGAAAGAGAACAGGGAACAGAGATAGAGAGAGAAAAAGAGACCACAGTGGAAGAGAAAGAGAACAGGGAACAGAGAGAGAGAGATAAAGAGGCCACAGTGGAAGAGAAAGAGAACAGGGAACAGAGATAGAGAGAGAAAAAGAGACCACAGTGGAAGAGAAAGAGAACAGGGAACAGAGAGAGAGAGAGATAAAGAGACCACAGTGGAAGAGAAAGAGAACAGGGAACAGAGATAGAGAGAGATAAAGAGGGTGGAGGGACACAAGAAAAACATAAGAAGAAATACGAAATTGAGAACGAGAAGAAGAATATAAAAGATAAAAAGAACATAGTAACGTATGAAGGAAATATTTGAATATTAGGACAATTAAGAAGTAAATTAAACAAAAGCTAACAAGATGTTGGACAACTTACCCTTAAAGCTTACCTTTAAAGCTTACCCTTAAAGCTTACCTTTAAAGCTTACCCTTAAAGCTTACCTTTAAAGCTTACCCTTAAAACCAAGACCAAAGTGGTACATGAAATAACAGCTCTAATAACGCTAATGATGTCAGTGGTGACTGTAACGCCTTCAATGATGTCAGAGGTGGCTGTAACGCCATCAATGATGTCAGTGGTGACTGTACCGCCACCAATGATGTCGGTGGTGACTGTACCGCCACTAATGATGTCAGTGGTGACTGTACCGCCACCAATGATGTCGGTGGTGACTGTACCGCCACCAATGATGTCAGTGGTGACTGTAACGCCTCCAATGATGTCAGAGGTGACTGTAACGCCTCCAATGATGTCAGTGGTGACTGTAACGCCTCCAATGATGTCAGTGGTAACTGTAACGCCTCCAATGATGTCAATGGTGGCTGTAACGCCACCAATGATGTCAGAGGTGGCTGTAACGCCTCCAATGATGTCGGTGGTGACTGTACCGTCACCAATGATGTCAGTGGTGGCTGTAACGCCTCCAATGATGTCAGAGGTGACTGTAACGCCTCCAATGATGTCAGTGGTGACTGTAACGCCTCCAATGATGTCAGTGGTAACTGTAACGCCTCCAATGATGTCAGTGGTGGCTGTAACGCCACCAATGATGTCAGTGGTGGCTGTAACGCCTCCAATGATGTCAGTGGTGACTGTAACGCCTCCAATGATGTCAATGGTGGCTGTAACGCCTCCAATGATGTCAGTGGTGACTGTAACGCCTCCAGTGATGTCAATGGTGGCTGTAACGCCTCCAATGATGTCAGCGGTGGCTGTAACGCCTCCAATGATGTCAGTGGTGGCTGTAACGCCTCCAATGATGTCAGCGGTGGCTGTAACGCCTCCAATGATGTCAGCGGTGGCTGTAACGCCATCAATGATGTCAATGGTGGCTGTAACGCCTCCAATGATGTCAGCGGTGGCTGTAACGCCATCAATGATGTCAGCGGTGGCTGTAACGCCTCCAATGATGTCAGCGGTGGCTGCAACGCCTCCAATGATGTCAGTGGTGGCTGTAACGCCTCCAATGATGTCAGTGGTGGCTGTAACGCCTCCAATGATGTCAGTGGTGACTGTACCGCCACCAATGATGTCAGCGGTGGCTGTAACGCCATCAATGATGTCAGCGGTGACTCTGTAACTTCATGGTATTTCTCAGATGCTCTTAAGAAATTAGTGTGACAACTGCAGGTAGACAGAGACGAAGATAAGGCTGGCGGAGACACAGAAATATATATAGTAACCAATATATAAAACTACAAGATAAAGATCATCATTTCCATGGAGATTGGTTGCCATGGAAACGACAAAGGGGATTGATTTTTTGTTTATTTCTCTGACCCCCCCTCCCTCCCCCCTCTCCCACCCCCCCCTCCTCTCCTTCTTCTACTCCCTCCTCCAAATAAAATAAAAACGTCTAAGAGAGACAGAATGAAGGAGAGAAGACAAATAAAAAATGGAGATATGCGAACGTCAGCCAAAAAAATAAAGAATCTTATTTAAGTTACACTCTTTTGAGCGAAGGAATCGAAGAGGAATTTGGAGGGGCGGTGAGGAGGAAGGTAGGTGTCTGGGGGAGTGAAAAATTGGGTTGAGGAAGGAGGCACCTTCTAGGGATGAGAAGTGAGGAATTAAGACACAGTGAGGAAGGTGAGGAACACAGTGAGGAAGGTGAGGAACACAGTGAGGAAGGTGAGGAACACAGTGAGGAAGGTGAGGAAGACAGTGAGGAAGGTGAGGAACACAGTGAGGAAGGTGAGGAACACAGTGAGGAAGGTGAGGAAGACAGTGAGGAAGGTGAGGAACACAGTGAGGAAGGTGAGGAACACAGTGAGGAAGGTAAGGAACACAGTGAGGAAGGTGAGGAAGACAGTGAGGAAGGTGAGGAACACAGTGAGGAAGGTGAGGAACACAGTGAGGAAGGTAAGGAACACAGTGAGGAAGGTGAGGAAGACAGTGAGGAAGGTGAGTAAAATATTGTTAAACAAAATAAAGACAAGGAAAGGGTAAATATTGAATATTAAAAAAAATAAAAAGTTATAACAAAAGTGCACTTCAGAGTAAGATAATTAAGACAATCGAATCAAAAACTTGAAGACGACGAAAAAAACATTTTAAATTCCGCAACAGGTGTAGTTGCAGACAAGTTTCAATTGATTTTTACGATTGATATACCCCGCTATTATCGGTCCCCAGCGGAGCATTGATTGATCATTGATTGATTGATTGATGAAGCCACCCAAGAGGTGACACGACCATCAATATTTTTATTTATTTTATTTATTTATTTATTTATTCGAGAATTCTTACATTCTTGTACAGGCACCAGCATGCGTAGCGTTTCATGCAGGTCCTTATTCCTGATTTCCCCCCCAGAATACGACCCGCCAAATTGTTTTACAACCAGGTACCCTCTATTTACCTGGGTACTAGGAGACTTGAACCATGGACCCTACGCGTGTGAGGCTGAAGCTCTATCGACTGGACTACCCATCCACTGCTGGGTGAACAGAGCAGTTATATGACAAAGAGTACTGGGAAGACGGGACACCACGAGCACAGCTTTCATCATGTAACTACATTTAGGTAATAACTCCCCGGCAGAATCAACCAAGCAACGATAACGTGTGAAAACAGTCTCAGTGGCGCAGTGGTAACACACTCGCCCGGCGCTTCGCAAGCGCTTTGGCCTGGGTTCGTATGGATAGAGCTTTGTATTCAGGGAAAAATTAGAATTAAGGACCTGCCCGAAACGCTACGCGTGCAAGTGGCTGTACATTAATGTAAGAAATCTTGTATAAATAAATAAATTAAATAAATAAAATAAATAAAATATATAAAATAAATCAAAATATTCATTGCTTTACCACCTCTTAGGTGGCCTGATCTTCATTAATCAATACTCCGCTAGCGGAGCAAATTAGTAGAATTTCAGGAAGATTATAAGAGGAATTTGGTTAGGTTAGAAAATGTCTTGTTATGACAAGAGATTGTCACACTAGATATATGGGAAATTCTTTGGGACTGGATAGGGGATCGTACCAGCGTACTGGGGTCATCTTAGACGCGCGACTTATAACAGAATTGCAGTTTCAACGTGTGCTGACACACGAGTCTGAAAGATCACCTGATCCCGAGAGAAAGTACTTTCATACACACACACACACACACACACACACACACACACACACACACACACACACACACACACACACACACACACACACACACACACACACACACACACACACACACACACACACATACACACATAGTAGGGTCAGGAATCTGTACACCAGTTGATTGACAGTTGAGAGGCGGGACCAAAGAGCCAGAGCTCAACCCCCGCAAGGAAAATTAGGTGAGTACACACACATACACACACACACACACACACACACGCGCGCGCGCACACACACACACACACACACACACACACACACACACACACACACACACACACACACACACACACACACACACACACACACACACACACACACAAGGGGGTCTAGGGCCAACAGTATTATGATTGAGGAAGAAGATAGGTTTGTGGAGAAGATGATTGGGAAATTTGTAGAGAAGAGGGATGTTTGGGTAGATGATCTAATCCAGGGGATTAAAAGTGAAGTCTTTAATAAGATACAGGGCGAGGTTCAAAGACTCAAACAAGAGTTTATGGATTATATTCAAGAGGAAATCAGGAAGAGCAGGGTAGAATGGCAAGGAGAAATATCTAGGCTTACTAATGAATTTGGCAGGAATAAGGGAAGCTTGGCAGGGGAAGGGGTAGTAGTAGTAGGTGGAGTAGCGGGTGTAGGAGGGGTGGGGGTCAGCCAGGGAGAGGGCCACCAGCATGACCCTGAACTGAGAAAGAGGACAATCATAATCCATGGATTACTTGAAGCCAGGGCACCATCGAGGCAGGAAAGGATGGAGATTGAGGATTTGGAACTACAGGGGATCTTGAGAGACATGAGAGCCCAGATGGCAGGGAATGAGGTGCAAGTCCACCGACGCATTGGACCATACAACTGTAACAGGAAACGACCTGTCCTGGTACAGTTCACTAACGAAGAGGCAGTGGATTACATACTGCATCACAAACACCTACTCAGAGGTAGCGAAAATTACTACAACGTATTTATTGACAAATTCATGACGAAGGAGGAACAGATTGCCCACAGAGCATGCAAACAACAATACGACTCTTCCCATTTGAGCGCAGCTACACACCCCAGTGCTAATCCACCCCATGCTAACCAGCTCACAAGTGCTTCTCAGGTCACCCCTTCCCCAAATCAGCCGCCCCTGCTTATCTCCCCAGCACATCCCTTGACCCCTCTGACCCCACTGGAGTCAAATTCATCCCACATTCCAAGGACCCCCTCATCACCTCAACCCCCAAAACCCGTCCAGCCCTCATCCCCTCAACCCCCAAAACCCACCCAGCTCTCATCCCCTCAACCCCCAAAACCCATCCAGACTTCATCCCCTCAACCCCAAGAACCCACCCAGACCTCATCCCCTCAACACCCAAAGCCTACCCTGCCCTCACCCCTCCTCATCCCCTCTCCTTCCATGTGACCCCCCACCCTTGCGAGGGAGGTGGGAGGTCCCCCCCACCCCCTCTATCCTTCCCCCTCCCAACCTCTCAACCTCTATCTGTCTCCCAACCTTACGCTATCTCCCAACCCCTCTATGCCCTCCCTAATCTTCAGACCCAGTATGCCCTTCCTACTCCAGACCTACCTACCCAGGCCCTACCCCAGACCCTCCTACCTACCTTCCTAGAAGCCCAGCCCCCAGTAGCCCCCCAAGCACCCCTCCTGAACTCTTTCACCCCCCATACACCCCCCGGACCCCCCCAGACACCCCCCGGATCCCCTCGGACATCCCCCGGACCCTCCCCGCCCCCAGTCATCCCCCAGACACCCCCCAGATCCCCCGGATCCCCTCTGCCCCCAGTCACCCCCCAGACATCCCCCAGATCCCCCCAGACCCCCAGAGAAAGGGAGAACTCTGGTACAAGAGTTTCCATGAAGAATCTCAAGGTTTGGTACACCAATGCTGATGGGGTATCTAATAAAGCAGAAGAGATAAAAGAAAGAGTGAGTGAAGCAGATCCTGACATAGTTGCAATTGTGGAAACTAAAATTAATGACATGATCTCAGATGCAATCTTTCCTGAAGGGTACCAGGTGATACGAAAAGAGAGGACACAGAGACAGGGAGGGGGAGTAGCACTCCTAATAAAGGGGAAATGGAAGTTTGAAGACCTGGGAAATCGAGTTACCAATGAGTGCACAAGCTTCATACATGGAACTCTGACAGTAGATGGGAGGAAGATTGTGATCATGGTAATCTACAATCCCCCACCAAACAGTAGAAGACCCAGGCAGGAGTATGATGACAACAACAAAGCATGTATAGATGAACTGCAGAAGGCAGCAACACTAGCCCACAGAATGAGAGCGAAGCTGCTGATCATGGGGGACCTAAATCATGGAGAGATAAATTGGGAATCAAGGAATCCCCATGGAGGGGACGAAACGTGGGGAGCAAAATTAGTAGACGTTATAGACAGGAATTTCCTGACACAACATGTGAAGGAAGACACAAGGGAAAGAGGAGGAGATGCACCGAGCCTATTAGACCTGATTTTCACCCAGAACGTAGAAGATATCGAGAATTTAGAGCATGAAATACCTCTAGGGGCCAGTGACCATTGTGTCCTAGTCTTTGACTACATGATGGAATTCAAACTTATGACCATGGGACAAGAGATCTGGGAAAGGAGAGCTGACTACAGGAAAGGGGACTATATGAGGATGAGGGACTATCTGGGTGAAGTGCAGTGGGAGGAAGAAATTAGAGGAAAAACAGTCCAAGATATGATGGACCTAGTCATACAGAAATGCCAGGAGGCCGAAGAGAGATTTATACCAACGGTAAAGGGAAAAAATAAGAAGGAATATAATAACCCATGGTTTAATAGACAGTGTCGGGAAGCAAAAATGGCCAGCAGGCGGGAGTGGAGGAAGTACAGAAGACAAAGAACAGAGGACAACAGAAGCAGATACAACAGAGCTAGGAACGATTACATTAACATAAGACGAACATCGGAAAGGGACTATGAGA